AGGAATGATAAACTCGATTCAGTAGACGGGACTGTAAGGTATAAGGAGAAACCATACACGACATAAACTTGATGATTAGAAGCGAATTATGGAATGCCAGGGCGTCCATTGGGACGGTGCATCGGAAAATTGGTTTCACATCAGTGCTGAAGATCCTAGTTATACAAACATTGCAGTAAGCTATAAGAGCAAACACGTCCTAAATAGAGCCACGTGTTTTCAAATCATTAAAACGTACGAACTGGATTGACGGTAGGACGCTGAAGTTTACATGGAAAGCAGTTTTATTTATTTCAAATCATGGTTGTGCCTGGGGCAAGAGAATAATCTCATATGAAAAGTACGAGAAATCATCCGTGATGAATAAAACAATAAAACAGAAGATACCAGTAATCACACAAACCTTAGGACTGCAGAGCAGATATTGATATCGGACAATGAGAAAACACTAAGGGAATAAGCAAGGGAATAACTGCTCCAGTTTGCGTGGTAACGGGAAATAGAACGAGTCTTAAACATTGACGGATCCGTAAAAAATGCTCAGCGATGTGTACTATTTCGGGAAAACACGAGACCAAAACTATGCAGTCTGCATTAGGCTCCTACTTACTGACAGGTGATTATCTACATGTAGGAATACTGTAAGTTTAACGAAAACACTGTGGGCAAGGGATGTCAATGGGAGATCATGGGAGACGTGAATTATAACAGGGAAATTAGTCTTGGGAGATTTTTAAACCAATTGGCACATGCATTTTGCAAATGAAAACTTACCGATCGTTTCACATTAACGAAGTTTTTTCGAGGCTTGCTATCAACACATTTGAGAAATCTCTGCACTTCATGTTTGTTCCAAGTATTCAGAAGGGGGTGATAATTTGGCAGGTCAGTCAACGAACGAGAAATATCGTAATTGTGACAGTGTAGAAAAACATGCACAGCCTCTTTGGAGAAGCTGAAACGTTAGGAGAAAAAATTGAAATGAGAGTTCATATTGTCATCTTGAATACATGGTATCACAAAACGGAATTAAATAGTTAGCTTATGAAAACGCTGATGTATTGCTGCAGCTGAAACGTCTAAAACCTGGATAGGGTATGAGCCTTCGCATGACTTATTATAACCACTTTTAGCATCAATCTTCCATGAGCATGTAAAAAAATGCGTCGGTGATGGCGATAAGCAGAGTCAACTTTGTAAACAGCGTAAAACTAAAACAACCCTTATGATCAGAGTCTTTAAAATAAATATAAGACGGGGCCTAGTACAAGTGCAACTAGAATTTACATCTAGTCATATCGCAATCGGGCACGTACCGCGTGCGGTACGCATCTGCAGACATCATCTTCTATTGTCGAGAAGGACAGTAAAACAAAAATCCCAAAAGTAAGCAATTATTACCTATTTTTCGAAGCTTCTTGAAAAAAAGCCTCTAGAACTGAAGAGAGAGGGGCCATCGATGGCCTCCATACATTGATCTCGAGATTTGACGAAGACGATTGATAAGGAATGTTCGGCGCGTAGACAAAATCCGGAACAACAGCTTGATACTCTGATCCGATGCGTGAGCAACTCGCTGTGAAAAGCAAACAAGACATTCGAAATTAATCGGTGGAAAATCAGACTGAAGTCGCATTTGCGTGCAATAATGTCATGGAGGTAACAGGAAAGCAAATCAGTGATTAATGCAATTAAGCCCTACTACAAAACTGGAAAAGGAACAAAACTACCATCTTGATTTTTGGATGCTTTGGTAGTTTTTGGTTGACGCTGTGTATTATTTCTCCGAATCATAGCAATAAAAGAGAAGATAAAAAGATCTTCCTGAGTTTGCAGAACGCAGCCTTAAATTCGTGAGTTCCAATGACCTTGATGTGCCTTTTCAAACAAGACCAGCAAATAATTGGCACTAAAGGTCAAGAATTTGTCAAACGAATTAATCAGCTAGAAGTAAGCCAGTAAAATTCATCCAAAAAGTAAAAATTCGGAAGACATGACTGCTCTTCAGTGATGCGATCAAATCTCCATAGTGGCGGTTTGGGCTCGGGTCAACTAGCATACAGAAAAACAGGGGCGATTGTAACAGGGCAATTGTAACATAGGTAACAATTGTAACATAGGTATGTGACGCTTAAACTGCACAAGTTTTTAATAAACCGAAACATTAGAAATTAAACATGAATAAGGTGTTACAACTGATAGACGGCCAAAAATTATGGATGTTAAAACGATTAACCGAGAATCTTATAAATTTGTGACAGTTTGGCGAAATTACACATGAAACGCGTAATGATTGCACAATTCAACAGGCCTATTGACGTACAGACGTGGAGATTTACAGAACCTGCATGCATCACAGTTGTTATTGTGTGCCTCCTGAAGGAAAATATATAGACCAGTCACTGCCTTATTCCATATAAGTATGTTACTTTAGCGACTCTTACTATGTGTACGTGTGAGGCAGAACATAAAATTGGGATATAGTACCCCATCAGAACGTTTGGTCATCGATCGTTAAATAAAGATCTGGACTTACGGCGTTCATTTCGCTGGATATTTACTATCCTTGAAGTTCATACTGCCGGTCTTGGAACTGCATTTTTATCGTTTTTGGTCTTCTCGTTGATATCAAGTCCCATAAACTAGTTGATCCGAAGACATAATTATCTTGTTGACGTCCAAGTTGCACCCGTCATCTAATTCACACATTTCAGCAATCCCTTAGGCTACTTCCTACCATCGTTTGTTTTCGTAATTTTTGTCTAGCGCACGACCCTTGCAGATTAACCGACCTATTAAACACTCAGTCATGCATTATATTTCAGCTATTGGACCGATCGTATTAAGTCGTCCTTGTAGTTTAGCAGCAGATAAATAAGCTATCGCATAGGTTGAGTCCAGTCACATGATGCAACTAGGCAACATCGCCAAATATTGCCCGAAAAGGACAATTTCTGCTGACATTATTACAAATTTGTACGTTTATCTGCGCACAAAGTCAAATGTGTTTTTGCAT